TGGAAGCTTAGGCTCCGCCAGCTTCGGAGTCGCCATCATCTTCCTGGGAAGCCGCCTCCCTGCACTTAATACTTAAGGGCTTCTCGTATCTTGAATTTCGCAACTTGCCAAACAGAAGAGCGGCTAAGGCCCGTGGCGCTGCAGCTGCACAAGCTGTGCTCGCTGCCAATGCTGCCAGGGACGAGCTGAAGCAGGAGCCTCGCTTTGTTGGATGGCATGAACTCTTTGCTACTTTTCATTTTTGCTTTGGGATGCAGTCAATTGTGTGATGTAGTATCAGTTCACTGACCGAGGAAGTGCATCGAGTCAACCAGCTGGTCGATCGATGCAAAAATTCGGGCGAGCTTCGGCAGATTCTCTATGCCCTGGTGGACATGCCCATAGAGGCTTTTCATAAGGTGGTGAACACCGAGCGGTTCTCGGAGCAGCTGGTTATTTGGCTGACGAAAGCTGCTTCTTCAAGGTGCCACCTCTTGGTTTGTCTCTGCCGGCTTAAGTCTTTGTCAGGGCTCTTCGAGAATGGCAGAATCGTCACGGTGCTCAGCGAGATCGCGGCTCAGGATCCTCACTTTGAAACTGCTGTGCTGGCCCGGAGAGTGTTGTCCCAGTGGCTTCCGGGATCGTTCGTGGAGACTCCTGCTGTGGAAGCACCTCGGGCAATTTATGTTTGCATGTATTTGTTGTTTGGATTTTATGCTTTGGCTTGATCTTCCTGTCATGCTTGTCGTGCTGGACTTCAGGTAACACGTGGATATACCAGCAGTGGTCAGGGCAAGGGCGGCGAGACTCCGAAAGCTGGTGCTCAGGGCAAGGGCGGCGAGACTCCGAAAGCTGGTGCGGGCAAGGGCGGCGAGATCGGCAAGGATGTGGCGGCGAAGGCTCCGAAGGCTGGTGCCAAGGGCGATGCCAGCGATGTGGCGGCGAAGGCTCCGAAGGCTGGTGCCAAGGGCGGTAAGGCCAGTGGCGGGGAGAAGGGCGATGAGCAGAAGGCCAGTGGATCGGCCAGTGGAGGAGGCGGACAGAAGTCGCGAAGCCGCACGCCCAATCCGAAGCGGGCCAAGCGGTGAGCCAGCGGCGGCCGAGGGATGGAAAAAAGTTGAGCCGAGCCAGAAGTGAGTTGCTTGAGAGATTCCTTTTTTAAGATCGAGTCGCCATTGACATGTCTCGCCCAGGCCGTGTCAGTTGCCGATCTTGCCATCGTGCCGGCCTCGTGCAAAGCTCTCGTGTTTGTTGGCTTCAGATATGTTCGTTCCTCGTTCCTCCTTCCATCCAGGTCGGTCTTGGATGCTACCTCGAGGCCTGGCAATGACCCATCGTCGCATAGAAAGTTTCGAGTTGGGCTTCCGGTCAGGTCCGCTCAGGCTGCTCCAAGTGCTTGCACCTCAGCCTTAGCCGCCTTAGCCCTTCGATCCAGGTTTTGTTCGGGGCGGGACCGACGGTCCTGAGGGAATTGGTCCGATGGACCACAAGTTTTGGGTAGGGGTCCGACGGACCCCGAGTGCGGGGGACCGATGGTCCCCAAGGCTTGCAGCATTGTGGTTTTGGTTTGGTGGTTTGGGGTTTCGGGCGGTTTGTCATTTCCTTATCACGCCCTCATGCTTTCCCAAGTGGGACGGTCCTCAGTGCATCCGGTTTTGATCAGGCGAGCCGGGATCGGTTGGTCGGTGGTTCATGTTGCTCCGCACTTATGTTACCATCCTGAGCTTTGCGCAGGTTTCATTCGAGATCCTCGTCACAAAGCAGTGCATGATGGAGATGCAGCCTCCTAGCTGCGATTGTGTGAATGTGAACGCTGAATGAACCTCCAAGCCTGAAGCCTTAACCTTATATCTGAGGCACATCCCTTCCGCTCCATGCCGGCATTGGTGCTCCGGTCCAAAAGAGCAGCTTGAGAGTGAATTGCGAACATTTGACACAAGTGTCTTCACCATTGCTTGCCACATTGTTGTCACTTCAAGCTCGGGGCCTTAGCTCTTCTTGTCCGGCAGTGCGAAAACACGAACCATTTTTCAATTACGCGGGAGGGTCTCTCTTCTCTATTCTCTAGCGGTCTAGCAGCTTCAGATTTTAGCATCTCGTCATGGAGGGTTTCTTTTATATCGGGATGCAAACAAACACGATTGTTCGGGGACACTTGGACAGACATGGCAGTCGCCCGGCCACGAAGCCCTGACGGCAGCTCGGATGCACGAATACCACACATGAAGACTTCCGATATCACAGTGTTTCGTCGTTTGCCCCCGCAGGTGCCCATTGCCGGAGATGCATCGAGAAGCATGGCAGTGCCGTGTCCCTGGACACATGTCCCGTATTCAGAACATGCTGCATGTGCAATGAACTTTGCTCTCAGGCCAAGCTGGCGGTGAAACATTGCAACAGATGCAAGTTCATCAAGAACGGTGCCAAATGGTGCCGAGGTCTTACGTGGACGAGGCGGCTCTTCCATCGTTCGCGGGTTACTTCTAGTGCTGCCAACGCACACGTGCAGGCCCGATGGTGTGACTGTGCCATGGCTTGCCGAGACAAGCTCGACTCAGCCGTGGGGTCTTCTGTGCGTCGTTTGCAACAGGGCGGCTTCCAGTCCTGACACTGCTTCGTCTGCATTCATCAGAGGGACGAAAGGTAGACAGCAAGACGTCCCTTGGCATCTGTTGGGCTTTCGTTCGGAGTTCCAGCACGAAAGACAGTCTGGTAATCTAGAGTGCCGTGCTTGCCTTTCCTGAGGTGGCCTCAAGCTGCAAGTACGGTGACCGCCTTCAGCTGGAAGATTTACGGCGTCATGGACAGAGCGACTTGCATTTCCATTCGTTGCAATCGCTTTGTGCTTCCCTGCCGACTGATCCTGTGCAGCAGAAGATTGATAATACAGTTCCCACTCCGGCACAAGTACGAGTCAGTGTGGAAGTCGTGCTTGCACCAGCAGCTGGCCAGACTTCGACTTATACTTCCAAGTGTGAACTTGCAGGGCGGGGCGACCCTGTCAACTACCCCCTCGCCCGAAGCGGAGCTGCAGAACATCCAAGAATAATTGAAGCCATTGCACAGACTCTCCTCGACATGGACCGCGAGCTCTTCAAGGCATGTGTATCAGCTGGTTTTTCGCAGGCGGGCTTTGTCCTGTAATCAGCATGGGCGATTGTTACGATGTGTTGCCTTTTCCTCATGTGCATTTGACAGGACAATTCTCAAGACTACGCTTCTATGCGGGTGAAACTTGTGGACAAATCCTTTAATGTCCATTGCCGGCATCTTCAAATCAGCTGTGTCCATGGCAAGAAGGCCTCACTATCATTTCGGGCCTTAGTCTTGGCTTTTGATTGTCATATGATGTTACCCCTTCCCAGACAGCCCTCGAAAAGTGCGAGATCATCCAAGCCGCTTTGCAGAGGGTGATCCCAGATGACGGGGAACGTGCGCATTTTCAAAACATCGTCCAGGCGGGTGGTCTTCTAGACTGAGTCTGAGGTTGATTTGACGTTCAGCTGTGGAGGTGTTTACAACAGACGGCGAATCCGCCGAGACCCTCGCAGGTCGGATGGCTGCTGCTCCTCTTCCTTATTGCTTTGCAATGCTAATGAAATTATTCTGGTGTCTCTGTTCCCCACTTGTGTCTGCCTGAAATCAGCGGCTGAGGTGAAAGGTGTGTTTCCCGGACTGCTCTGCACCCATAGGTGCATGATGCACTCGGCTCAACGAGCCCTGGAGGCAGCCGTGAAATCAGACACTGCCCTGGCAAAGCTCCTGGACGATTTGGTCTTCCGCTACTCCGCCATTAACAATGTCAAGGATCCCGGCTCCCTGACGCGAGCCTTGCACAATTGCTGTCGCCTCAAAGCCAAGTTCGACGAGAAGGCCCGTGCAAACTTAGATGCTGTGGATGAGCTGGTTGGAAAGGCTTCGTCGGCCTCGTGGGCTCCACAGAGATTCGACAGCATACTATCGGCTGTCAAGAAGATAGTTTTGAACTTGGATAGTGTTCTGGAACTTCTCGTGGAGACGGCTTCCTTCCAAAACTGCCAGCAAGAATGGGCTACCAAGCTACTGGCGGCGCCTTGCCTGCCAAACCGATGTTCCAACATGTGTTAGAGAACCTTTTCCTGCCATGGCTGCAGGTGTTTACGGCTCCAAATATCAGGGCTTTGGCCCTGCTGACGGAGTGGTTGAGTCTTTGCTCCCGCTACGTTCATCTGTACGACAAGGACCCTGTCAAGGCCTCCTCGCCGACGGCTTGCATCGGCAACATCGCCCGATGCTCCTCCCTGGCCGATCTTCTGAAAAAGGACACCCTGTGCCCCGCATGGCTCCCCGTTGCACCTTGGGGTTTCTAAGCCGTGACTGCTGCAGGAGTTGAACGACATGTTCGAGCTGAAGAGCCTTTCCGGGCAGGCCCAGGTACCTCATGTCCTCAACCCCAAGTACACTGCTGGCTATGTTTCTATAGCCGAGCGAGCGATGAGGTTCAGCTTCCCGGCTATGGGATTGGTTCGTTCTTGTCCGTTGCTTCCGATTGCATCGCTTTGCCAGGTTCGGAGCGAGCAACTATTGAACACGGCCGTCTGCTGCAGCACTATGCAGGCACTGGCATAAGACTCAGCCTCTGATCACGTTTTGGCTTTATCGTACGTGGATTCGACAGGCCACGACGAGAGCAACTTCAAGGAGGACCTGTGCAAAGAATTGGGTAGTATTCATAATATTTCCCACGTCTTCGTCCAGAGCATCGCAGTTTGGCACACCACCGGACTGGCGGGCAGCTTGTGCCCCTTTGATGTGCTGGAGTGGTGCAAGAAGCGGAAAGATGACTGCCTGCCCCTAGCTTGCGCCAGAGTACAGTTCGCCTCTGTAGGTTATGTTGTGCCCCGCATTGAATCGTTGATTGTCTTCCAAGGAAAGACTGCTTCGGCCCGTTGGCGGAAATGCTGCAGGTGGATGCTGCCCAACTGCAGACTGAATTTCTCCTCGCTCGGCCGACCGCTTTGCATTTGGCGAGGTGGGCAAGCTAATCGGAACATTTCTCCTCGGCACTTACACATGCTTGCACAGGGCTGGCAATTGTGATTACTGGCCTCAAACTATGAGCCACTGGGGGTCCCGGCTCCCGGTGCTTTGCAAAGTTGCTCTGGCCTTATCTTCTCTTCCAAGTCTGCAAAGGCTGTGCTGGACCTGTTGGATATAAGATCACTATCACGGTGTTCAGGTTCGCTGTTTGCTTTGCATCTTCGACTCGACCTCTGCCGTCGAAAGCGGCTTCTCCACCTATCGGCTTTTGACTTCGGGGGTCAAGGGCTCCATCACAGAGGCCCATCGCGATTCCTACATGAAGGTGTTCTGTGACTCACCTTTGCCGCATGAGACTCTCGTCTGCCACGCCGCATTCTACTAGGCATTACTCTGTGTCGTATTGCTAAGGATAGCAAAGCCAACCGGGGCTGGCCAATGCTACGAAGCCACGCCCTTTTGCAGCCGTGTCCTCCACACCTACCGTCGTCTGCACGGCGGCCAGGGGAAGAACACGAAGTCTAAGGATCTCCCCCGTCGGCTCATGAAGTCACGACTGCGATCAACAGGCATGAACGCCTTCGATCGTCGCAGAAGCGGTGAGGTGGCAGCTCTGGCGGACGAGCTCTCCAAGCCTTTGGAAGCTCGTGAGGTCGAAACCATGGTGGCCCTGGACACCGTGGCGCAGCAGTCAGCCCAGGACTGTGTCTGCACTGTTTTTGTCCTGCGTGTCCTGCTTCGACCGAATGCTTGGTGCAACCTCGTTCATGGCAGGATCGTGCTTCGCAGAAGCAGGTTGATGTCCTCCTTGCCCTCAAGAAGAAAGCCCGCGAAAGGCAGCAGGCTTTCATTCACGGCCCGCATCACGAAGGTGCTTCCAAGCTTAAGGAGCTCGAGCAGCAAGTTCTTCGGAATGCCGAGCAGTTGTCCCAAATGGAGCGGCGACAGATGGCCCGGCACAGCAAGTCGTTGGAGCCGGGGCCGACTTGCATTGTGATTCTGGGTGACAGTCCGGAGGAGAAGCAAGCTCTCAAGAGGCGAATCCTGCAGGTGTGTAGGGCCCGACGAG